AAACAGGACAGTAATTTTATTTCTAACTCAGGCTTGACAAGAACCCTACCATTCATTGAGTCACATCCTCAGCCTTATGAAGAATATTTAAAGGCTATGTCCTCTGGGGTCAGAGATACATAGAGCAATTAGAAAAGTAACTGGTGAGCTGGGTAACTCCAGCATTTAGGATGCTACACAGGAGCTGAGTTCAACATATATGAGATCCAGGGTAGAGACCCTGCCTCTGTGGGGTAAGAACTATGAAAAGCACCAGTTGAGCTTCTTCTGGGTGCTGTGTCACAAGCATCCTGAAGTCACTGAGTCACAGTGGACAAACAGCCAAATGACTTCCAGCAGCCAAGTGATGCTGCTATGCCCTGAAGTGTCAGTTCCATGTGATGTCATCCCCTATGGCACACAGACCACATTGTTCATACCCATCAAAGCCCTGAGTACAGGTACCATAGTCAATCATTTCTCAGGCTGGTGGGGCTGGGACTTACGGGCATCTTAAAAACACCAACTGTTCCCATGACTGGGGCCAAATGTTAGTTACAAGACGCCCACACAGCTGTAGCCACTCCTGAATGCCTCTTGTAGCACCCTCGAGGACCAGAGCCAGGAAGCTTCCTGCACCCAGGCAGTTAGAGCCAGACTTCACTTCCCTCTGCCATTTGCTCACTAGTAAAAAGACAAACAGGACTGAGAGGTGCTGGACATAAACCAGATGCCACTTATTAAATTCTTTTGGAGCTAGAGAAATGGCTCAGCAGTTAAAAAACTGCTCCTAAAAACCAAAACCATGATGAGCGGTGGGGGCACACACAGCTTGAATCCCAGCACTTGGGGAGTAGTGGCAGGCAGATGTCTGTGAGTTGGGGGTCTAGAGTTCCAGAGCAGCTTTGAAACCCTACCTCAAAAACAAATTGGGGAGTATTTATTTTGAGTCTTACTTCGTTCATAGTTCATCAAGGAAAGGAAACACAATGGAACTCTGCACTTCTGTCTCTGTCTGGGATCACTGGCTTATCTGCAGCATTCTCCCTTTCCAGCCCCAGAATCCTTGTAAACCAAGTGGTACCAGCACTAATGACGAAAAAATAGCAGGACACGGGCACAGCTAAAGTCAATCTTGTAAAGGTCAGGTAGATGCCAAAGCCAGCTTCTGAGTGCTATCCTGCCCTCCTAGACCACCCAAACACTGGAAAGCTAGAGGCAGTAAACCGGCAGGTCGGCCACCCAGAGAGTGGTGTGTCTCTTCCTGCCACTGTTATGATACAATCTGGCAGACAGCAGGATAGCAGAAGCAGCAATCAGTTACAAAGAGTAACACAGGATGTTGACCACAGAAAGTCCCAGAGAAAATGGATAAATTTCAGGATCTAGTTCCTCAAAACTGGGAGAAAGAAGACTTTGTTTGTTGGGTTTTGTTTTGTTTGTTTTATTGAGACAAAGTTTCCCTGTGTAGCCCTAGCTATCCCGGAACTAACTCTGTAGACTAGGCTGGCCTCAGAGATCTGCCTGTCTCCAAAATCAGGGATTAAAGATGTGTGCCACCTCCACCTGGCTGAAAGGAGACTTTTTGTATATTAATCTTTCTAAATGCAGGCTATCACAGAACATGACGCCATCAGTGAGCTGGAGAGCCAGCTCTCCAACACCTGGTATTCTAGATGACCTGAGTTTGGTCCCCAGCACTACAGCAACCTCACCACCACCTAGAACTCCAGCTTTAAGGAATCGGACACACTCTTGAGCCTACATGGGTGCATCAACTCATATGTGCATACTGAGAGAAATAAATAATCCAAACTGAAATCTGGGGCTGAAAATAAAGTTCAGTGGTTACAGTTCTTGCTCTTCTCGAGGACCCAGATTCTATTCCCAGGATCCAAAAGGCAGTTTACAACTATCTGTAACTCCTCTAGTTTCCAAAGTCAATAGACCTTCATAGTACAGGCAAAACAAACATATGGGTTTTTGGTTTTTGGGTTTGGGGGTTTTTTTCGGCTTTTTCGAGACAGGGTTTCTCTATGTGGCCCTGGCTGTGTCCTGGAACTCACTCTGTAGACCAGGCTAGGCTTTTTCGAGACAGGGTTTCTCTATGTGGCCCTGGCTGTGTCCTGGAACTCACTCTGTAGACCAGGCTAACCTCGAACTCTCGAACTCAGAAATCCACCTGCCTCTGCCTCCCAAGTGCTGGGATTAAAGGCTGGGCCACCACCGCCCAGCATGGTTTTTATTTTAAACCCATCATCACCCTAACAGTGTACAGCAACATGAATGACATTCATTTACAATTATATGTAAACTAAATTTTTTTTTTAAATCAAGAACAAGGGCTAGAGAGATGGCTCAGCAGTAAAAAGCACTGGCCATTCTTCCAGAGGAATTCTCAGCATCCATATGGTCATATGGTCTGTAACTCCAATTCCAGGAGATCTAACGCCCTCTTCTGGCCTCCTCATAGACTGCATACTCAAGGTACACAATCATACAAGCAGACAACAGGCACACATAAAATAAAAATCAACAATGACAAAACCTGAAAACTCGCTAAGGCAGGACCCTGAGAAAGTATCACGAGCACCCTAGCCCTTAACCCAGGCCTTAAAAGGGTGATGTGGGATGTGGGATGACTCAGGAGGCACATCTTTGCACATCTTTGCATTCTAGGCCATCCTGGTCTACACAGCAAGTTTCCATCCATCCCTGTCTCAAAAGAAAGGATGTGAATACATGGGGTGAGTGTTTCTGAAGAGACTGCTCAGCTCCACAGAAGACCTGGGTTCAAACCTCAGCAGTTCATTCCCAGCACCCACACAGCAGCACAACAGGCATACATGTAATGCACAAACATAAATGCAAGGGAAACATGCATAAACCTCAACAGTGAATCTTAAAAGGAAAGTCAACCTAAAAATGCTTGATGTGAGCTGCCCTGGGGGGTGGGGGGTGGGGGTGGAGAATGACACTGAATTTACTACAAGGCACACTTGGAACAGAAATAAACCCTAAAAACCAATTATGAAAGTAAAAACTGGCCTAGCAAGATGTCTCAACAGGTAAAGGTTAAACCCCCAGGATTCTTCCTCCACGCTGTCCTGAACCCCTCCACCACATGCCCGCGTGTGCGCGCTTGCGCACACACACACACACACACAAAGTGGCATGAACTCAATACAAATTCACAATAAAATGCAAACATTTTAAAGAATAAAGGCAGGTTACATCTAGCAGTTAATAATGCTAAGAATGTTTGTGAAGGGAGCAGCCAGACGGCCTCGGCAGGAAGGGACTTACTTACTGTCACATCCGACGTGCACGCTGTAGCATGTACACACCCATGTTGAAATTTGGTCTGTTGCTAGGTACTATGTAATGCTATGTACAGGCCCCAAGACCTGCTTGCCCAGAGATGAGGCAAGTAGACCCAAGAGATACTATGTGACCTTGACCCAAGTTTCTGATTGAATAAAGATGCCTACAGCCTACAGCTGGGGAGAACTGAGACAGGTGAAAGGAGAAAGAAAAGGTAGAGAGGAAAAAGCAAACATGGGTTAAGAGTCAAGAAAGCATGGCCATGAGGGCTGGCCAATTGTAATTAAGGGCAGCCCAGATAAAATATAATAACAACTCAGGGGTTGTTAGAAAAGTAGACTTTAATAGCATAGAGAGTAGATATCTGCCCAGCTCTTGGGCTGATTAAGGCTTATTGATTCTTTAATCAGACTTTGATGTTCCTTGATGCCCTGCCCTGAAGTGATCTTCTGTAAACTATATCCCTAAAAATTTTCAAAATACTTTTCAGTGAAAACCTTTGGATCAGTTCCTTTTCTTCACACAAATGTTAAACTAAAATCTGTAATAACAAGGCATGGTGGAGCGTGCCTATAATCCCAGCACTTGGCAGGAAGATCAAGTTCAAGACTAGACTGAGCTGCTTAAAAGATATTCCAAACTACACAGATGAGGAGTAAGCTACCTGTGTAGCATGCATCAAGCCCTGGATTCAATCCCCTGCAGTGCTCCCGGCAGTGCTCCCGGACCCGTAATAGCTATCCCCAAAGTGCTGCTCATTATTTATACAGGTCACCATATCATCCGCTCCCTCGCCCACCCCTACAAACTGAGCTAAGTTGTCGCTCATCATTAAGTCTTCATTCATATGCTTGCCATATACACCGAGGACAGGTCTACGTAACGTCCACTCAGAATCCACCCTCGTGACAGAAGGAAGCACTAATGAGGTGACACTAGAAGCTCAAGCACAAAATCACACAGACACAAGAAGGCTGCAAACCCCACTCATGAAAGAATGCACCAAACACATTCGCATTTATTTTCTTTTTTTTTTTAAGCAAATGACAAAAACCCAATTACCAGCTTTTTTAACCTAAGCTTAACATTACATATTTAAACAATAGTCAAACTGACAAGATTGCCAACATCCATGCACAACTAGAAAACATCCTTAATTTACACTAAACCAGAAATGTATTACCATTGATGCAGTAATAGCTTTCATCACTAAATACTGAAAATAAAATTGAAATATTTCTGTAGAAGATTCATCTGGCAATGTTAACTTCACAGCAGGCTGACACTACTCACTCACAGTTCAACACAATGGGAAGCAGCTCCATGCTGGTGTTAAGAACAATCTCGTCCTAGCACTACTCAGTCACAGGGCTCACCTCAGATTACGGTTCATTTAAAGCAAAGTGCATACAGAGATTACAACAATTTTAAAGACAAAAAAAAAAAAAAGAAAGGAAGAAAGGTCCTATATTTTGTGGTCCCAAAAACAAACTCAAAAATCTGACAAATGGGGGCTCCAATGAGCTGTTTTATAAATACTTTAGATTAGGTACAGTTATACAGAAAGTCGAGTTCGTTTGAAATCTTCAAAAAAAAAGTTCCTGTTATTCCTCACATGGTGCTTGCTATGGTTTAGCATTTCTGTTAAATGCGTGCGTTGAATTACTTGTTATCCAAGCGTAGCAGGTGCTCCTTACCATTTATTGTCAAGGACTTTAACTGTCCATCTTCTTCAACTTCTACTCTTTCTTGACCGTTCTCCACAATTCTGTAAGAAATGACCCTTTTAGAAACCTCTGTTCAATCGGGATGTACAGCAAGAGTTTTCCTAGCAACCTCAGGGCCCTGGGCTCATAACTACAAAAAAATTATGATATGAGAATTTACGTAACAGACATATGAAAACTAAGCTTGAGAGTTCTTCCTAAATTCCTATCCTGCCAAAACTAAGTTTGGACTCAGACACTATACGATACGGGAGATGCTGCTAACCACGGAGAGTAAGGCGGGGGCTGGAGTGTGGCTAAGTGGCCTCAGCCCAACTCTGCCATTAGGGTTTTCCTGCTCAGAGAGCCACTCTCACTTCCTGACACTGGCAATACCAGGGAAGCTCATTATAAAAGACCACACACTGGCATGCATCAAAGGAAAAATTAAGCAAATACTGAAAGCAAAAAGCTTTAGCTGGTTTAGAAATGAAGCATAGTTCAGCCCTGCAAACTGTGCATGCATATGAAATACTGTACCATTGTACCCTGCTACTAAGAACAAAATACTAAGTATATGGGATATGCATGACTTTAATTCTGTTGACCCTCACTAGGAAGACACGCAGTAGGGTTAAGGGTTCGATGTCATCTATGTCTGCCCGCTCAAACAAATAAAAACTGAGAAACAACAATGACAATGATGATGATAACAATAATAGTAACAGGCTGGTGATACAGCTCAGCCTGAAGGGAACTTGCCTAGAATGAGTATGATCCTGCCCTTCAAACATCAGCACAATAACTCTCACTGAGGTGTGACTACAGTACTATACTCTCAGGAAGCAGAAGATTCCAGAGATTCCAGATCCTAACTAAGCATTAACGCACTGGAGGTAGAGGCAGGTGGATCTCTTGAGTGAGGCCAACCTGGTCTGGGTGAGTTCCTGGTCTAGCTGAGTTTGCTGCCTCGAAAGTAAATGTATAAATTAATTTAAGAACAATACCTCTTTGTAGTGATTTTTTTGCCATTAACTATCTTAGTTGACGTTGATATTGATTTGAAGTTGCCCATTCCACTGCCGCCAAATGACGCTGAAGAGAATGAAGTGAGACCCCCGTGACCTAGTGACCCGAATGGAGTAAAGCCTATAAAGAAACAGAAGCGTACAGTTAAAAGCTACAGACTTTAAAATTCACGCAAAAATCCCCTGAACTCCAAATGTGTCGGCTTCAAAGGGAGGCAAGTGAGCTGAAGAAGTGGGTAAGGTACATCACTAGTTCAAGCCTCAACAATGCTCTACCCACACGGTAAGAGGAAAACGGAAAAGTCCTCTCTGTCTCTGTGCACACCAGGTGCCCCTACCCAGTGCCTGTGCATACACACACACATGCACAAATACATGTATCTTTAATTTTTTCCCCAAAAGCTGTCTGAACATACCAAGGTCCCAGTGTGGCACATATCTTTAAATTAATCCAAGCATGTGGACTAAAGAGGCAGGTGGATCCCTGTGATCTCAAGACCATCCTAATGTACAGTGAGACTTAAGAATTGGGGGTGGAGTCGACATGCCAGTGAACATCAAGGCTATACCCAGAAATCACTGTTACGGGTCTATTTACTACTATTTTCCCAGTTGGGGGGAGGGGGGGAACAGCAAGGGGGAGGGACACTTGCCATTAAAACCTTAGCTCCATCCCTAGAACCCATGTTGAAAGAGAAAAACACCTATAAGAAACTTTTCTCTGGGGCTGGAGAGATGGCTCAGTGGTTAAGAGCACTGACTGCTCTTCCAGAGGTCCTGAGTTCAAATCCCAGCAACCACATGGTGGCTCACAACCATCCGTAATGAGATTGGATGCCCTCTTCTGGTGTGTCTGAAGACAGCTACAGCGTACTCATCAAGAAAATAAATAAATAAATAAATAAATAAATAGATAGATAAATAAATAGATAGATAGATAGATAGATAAATAAATATTAAAAAAATAAAGAAACTTTTCTCTGGCCTCTAAACACGCACAGTGTTTAATGCCTGTGCCCAAACTTACACACAATAGAACTATTTTAAAGATGGAAATAATGCCCTGCTTTCTCACATACAGATTGAGAACCCTAAGTATATGCCACATTTGGCCCACATCTTACAAGCACCTTAATACAGGGGCAATTACATACCCACAAACAGCCACAATTAATGGCCATGGTTTTTATTTTGGCAAGATGCCTTTACAAACCCGGACTGATCTCAAACCTGGCATCCAGTCTGGTAGGATTACAGATAGCACCTTCACACAGAGCTATAAACCAAGATCTGTCTACACTACCCACCCTCAAAACAGGAAACAGATTTCTGACCAAAGAGAAACTTACCTGCCCCTGTCCCATACAAATTTCAAACTAGCTACAAGACAGATCAAATGTAAGGCTTTAATACCTGTATCAAAAGCAGGAAATCCACTTCCAAAGGAAGGAAATCCACTGAAGGCATTGAAAAAGGAGCCAGCACCTCGGCTTCGATTTCCTCGGGGACCTCTTCGGTTTCCAAAAAAGTCATCAAATGGGTCTTCTAGAAATAGATTGTTTAAAAATGTGTTATGAAAATATTTAAGTTTTTCTCCATAGAGGAAGAAACATGGGTTAAACGCCTCGATACACAAGGGTCTGTTAGGCACAAGCACCTAACAGCTCCTGGCTCTCTGGAGCAGATGTTCAACAAACAACTTTCGCTTATTGGTTGTAGCCACCAGCGTCCATGGATGAACTGAGTTCACCTGAAAGGGAGGCTGGAAATGAAAAGGAAGACGGAGTGAGAGAAGCAAGGAGCCAAGACAAAGTTCTCTGATCAAGGCTCAAAGTTTAATACGCAGCTCTTCTATTTAAAGGGAGAGCCCCACCAAACCCAAGGCAAGCTCAGCAGGCAGTCTATTCTTCCAAGTTCCTGTAGCAGGTCATTCGTGCAGCCAAGGTGGGTAACTCCAAGGTCCTATTATTAGGTCTATTATGGTAAACAAAGTCTTTCTGACCTGCTCAAGGCTGGGGGGAGGGCACAGCAGCTAACAACATAATATTTATAACTATTTATTTTTAAACTTACCTTAGTGTTTTTATTTCCCCTAGTAAAATAGAAAAACCTGTAAGAACCATACACCACATACTTTCAAATAATATATGCATGCAGAAAGTTGTGTAGATGCATAAAGGACAAAAAGACAAATGAAGAGAAAGGACAAAGCAATATCCGGCTGGTCTGCTTAAAGTCAGATGAACACACCATCCTAGCAGGCCCAGGTTCCAGAACAGGGATCTCGGTATAGGATTGCCCAAAAGGGTAATCACAGGGGTAGACCACAGGGACCAGAGCAAAGGCTTGGAGTACTCTAGATAGAAAGCCTGAGACAAGCACAGGAGAGGCTCAAGCTGGACAAGAAGGTCACCAGGCAGCTCTGCCTAAGGCCCCGCATCAGTGGCCCTGGATGGCTTCTTCCAAGGTCTGACAGTGGCTGGGTGAAAGGAACTTATGTATTCAGCAACATGACCCTTCAGCAACTGAAGGGTTAGGGGGGAGGTGGGCCGGGCCCGCCGGACAGCTGTCTGAGCTGGGATTGAGAGATGTCATCTTTTATGAATTCTGTTCTACTGTATTTTTTTTTCTTCCTGGAATCTATTTTTAAATTTGTAAGAGTATGTATATGGGTTTGTTCATTTGGGTATAATGCCCAAAAGCCAGAAAGGGGCACCTTATGTGAGCTGTCTGACATGAATCCTGTGTTATAGTGCTCCAGTACAGGCCAGCCCTTAACACTGAGCCATCTCTCCACCCTATCCTGTACTTCCATCAATTTACCAGTAGCTACAAAGACTTTGTACAAATAAAACTTGGAGATAGGCTGGAGAGATGGCTCAGGGGTTGAGAATACTGACTGCTCCTCAGAGGTCGAGTTCAATTCCCAGCAACCACATGGTGGCTCACAACCATCTATAATAAGATCTGGTGGCCTCCTCTGACATGCAGGCATATATGCCGGCAGAACACTGTGTAATAAATAAGCAAATCTTTAAAAAAAAAAAAAAAAACTTTAAAAAAATCTTTCATTTACTAAGAGGCTCTAAAACTGATTATCAGCCAATAAACCAAGTACGTATGCCACTGAGGTTTCCTAGCAACATGAATAGCAATTCTTGTAGTTATCATACCCAAACTAAAAGAACCATTAAGCTAGTATGGTGAATAATTCTAGTACCTAAGAGGCAGAGAAAGGGGAATCTCTGAGTTCCAGGCCAATCAGGGCTACATAGTAAGACCTTGTTTTGTTTTGTTTTAAATTGCATTTCAAATGGCTGAGCACCTGTAAACCCAGCAGTTGCAGGAGGCAGGAGGATCAGATGTTAGAGTTCATCCTCAGCTACATCGCTGAGTTTGAAGCCAGCCTGGGCCCTCATATCTTGACAGTTACAAGCAGCTAAAACATACTATGTAATAATTCACAAATTGGGGACAATCCACATCATCATGAAAAACAAATTCTCCACAGCTAATCTTAAACTAAGCTTAAACTAATCTTAAACTAAGCCTTTGTCTTTTCCAAAACCTTTAAAAGTGTATTTACCTCCATCATCTGGAGTGGGAGTACTAACGCAGCAATGCTTATGGAGGCCACAGGAGTTCTCTCCATCCGCCTTGACGGTCTATGGACTCAAGTCATCAGGCTTGCATAGCAAGTGCTGTTACCAGCAAAGCCAGCTTAAGCCCAACCATGTCTTTATTTGCAAATCCAAAAGTTTTAGAAGTCTGGTTTTTGTTGTTTTTTTTTAAAGGATATCAAAACAATATAAAAGGAGTCATTTCTACTAGATTCAAGGGTAGTAACCTGCAATTTCTCCTTATGAAATGCTCTGTATTATTTGGGGACTTCAGTGCAGCTCAGTGGGAGCACTTCCTTAACATGTGCTAGGCTATGTGCTCCATCCCATCAATCACCAAGACACAGTATTTCATGTACAAAGTTAAAATTCATAATGAAAAAAACCTGGAAGTGATGAGATCCCAATCTTGAAGCCAGTGGAGCTACTACACAAGACCCTGTCTCAAGGATGAAAACAGAACAGCGCTGCTGAGATGCCTCAGAGTGCAAACATGTCTGACAAGAGCATAATCCTTGGCAGCTATCAAGTAGATGGAGAAAACTGCAGAACGTCCTCTGACCTCCAACAGCCAATACACACACCTGCTTGTAATTTACTGAACAAAACTTTAAGAGGGGTTCAGCAGGTAAAAGTGCTGACTGCTCTTCCAGAGGATCCAGGGAGTTCAATTCCTATCATATACAGGGTGACTCACAGCCATTCATAATTCCAGCCTCAGGGAATCAGATTCCCTCTTCTGGCTTCTGCCAACACCAGGCATGCACACATACATTTTAGATGTTTTAAAGAGGAACTTTGTGTGATCCTGTTTTATGACACTGAAGTAACCAATACTCCAAGGACTGACAAAAATATCTAAGTGGCATAAAGAAAAAAGGAAAAGGAAAGAGAGAAAAACCACACTGAGTACATAAAAGGTAACAAAAAGCCTAAATGAGGAAAACATGTAGACACTAATGAAATGCCCACATTTTATATTACAGAATGCTAACGTGAAATCCAGGAGCAAACTACACATTAAACTCGGTTCATACAGCAGATAGAATATACTAATGACTCATGGCCCAAACACTCCAGATGCCTATGCTTCCTATCAACTCTCAAATACCAAAGCCAAAACAGAAAAGTGGGGGGGGGGGGGGGGACGACTGCACATGCAGATTACACCATGGGAATTCCTAAGACCTAAAAATTCTCTCTCTGAGTGACTTTAAAACCAAATTACCAACACAACATATGATTAAAATCTCAGCACTTGAGAGCTAGGCCAACCTGGGCAATTCATTGGGACCTACATCTCCACAAAACTTAGTACATGTCCCCTATTCCTAGCCCTAAGACAAAAGGACTGCTACAAATTCTCAGCCAAGGCCACATGGTGAAACCAATTCTCAAAGCAAAAACAAAAAAAAAAAAACAAAACGGTGGGAGAGATGGCTCACCAGTTAAAAGCAGTGACTGCTCTTCCAGAGGATGTAGGTTCAATTCCCAGGACCCACATGGCAGCTCACAACTGTCTTAACTTCAGTTCCAGGGGAATCTGACACGTCACAGACATATATTCAGGCAAAACACCAATGAACATATAATTTTAAAAGGAAAAAAAAGAAAAATAACATTCTACGGAGACATGCAGGGCAAGAACTAATCCCACTCCTAAGAGCTAAAAAATGTATAAAGTGTTCTCTCATTACAACCTCCATTTTTCAAATGGTATCTTTTTACAGAAAATGATTACTTGGAATTAACAGAAATAAAACCACAATCCAGTACCACATTGAACCACAGATCAGCACTCAGGATAGACACAACTAAAGAGTGTCATGAATGTTAAACCAACTGTGTCACTTCCAACTTCTAAAGTGATTTTGTTTATAATGAGTCTACTTTATGAGGAGCCCTGGAGACACAGTAATCACAGAACTTTCCCCAGAGTGAAAGTGCTGAGACATCCAATGGCTCTGTTGGGAGGATAGGGGATACTGTCTGCTGCTCTAAGATGACAATTCAGGACTGAGTTCTAGCTTATGTGCTAACTGCTCTCACACAATGTGATCCTGCTGCTTCCTTTCCACAAGATTAAATAAAGAGCAATGCATTGCCAATGTTCCATAAACCCACATCAGGAAGCTTAGGGTTCATTCAACTACTTTTCCTATCCAGGAAACATCATGGCTACACCCATCAAGGACGTGAGGCTCACCTGTGAGTGGTCCGCTGGAATGAACACAATAAAAAAGTGAATGAACTAAGACCGACGAGATGCACGGCCCTTTAACCTTCACACAGATGAAAGAGAGAAAGGCAGGCTAATAGGAGTTGAGGCCAGCTGGATCTACATGGCAAGTTCCAGGCCAGGTGGGGCTACATGGAGTGACCCTGTCTCAAAAAGTCAGATTTTGTACTGTGCAACCAAACAAGGTCCTCATGTTCTTTCTTCAATTATGTGAAGGTAGGGGAATGCAGAGAAGTGTTACAGAAAAACCTTACAAAGTGAGAACCTCACTGCACTGTTCAATGCTGTGGGGTCTACAGCAAAAAACACAAGCCTCAGAACTTTGCAAATATGCCTTCAGGGGCTTGAGAGATGGCTCAGTTAAGAGCACTGGCTGTTCTTCCAGAGGACCCGAGGTTCAACTCCCAGAACCCACATGGCAGCTCACAACAGCTCCAGGGGATTTGACATCCTGACACAGACATAGATGCAGACAAAACATCAATGCACACAAAATACAAATTTTAAAAATGAATACATATCAACAATCTTTAATCAACCATATCATTTTGAGAGGAAGGGTGAATCAAAGTAGCCTCCAGCCTCCTCCCAGCCAGGACAAGTTTCTGAGAGCACAGTTAAGTATCATTCTCTTAATTCAATGTGGCATCCACCATCTTTTTTCTTTTTTTAAAGAAAGAACAAGGAAGCTAATGAAAGATACAGGCAAGCTGTAGTCTAAAATCCAATGAAAAGGTAGCATTTTAACTAACTGGAAACTAGTCTATAATGTGTTTGTACATACTTTCACTGTCTTTCAAATCCCACTGGGAAGAGAAGTGGTCCTTTGTCCTTAAAGCAATAAGGACCTGTGATCCAGCCTGAGATGCAGTCACCAATCCAGTCCAAGATTAAGCCATCTGCTTTGTCAGCGCCACTCTCATCTCTGAAATTAATTTTTTTATCTAACTTCCAACTCTTCTAAAGATCCCCAACTTTCAAGATTTTCTACTTCTAAATGCACTACTAGCTTCTAAGCTGAACAGACTAGGGTGTAAACCTAAGCAACTACGAAGAATCTTACTGAGCTGGACTCTCATCTCATCTCAGAGGATCCTTGGCTCTCACTACCAGCTCCCTGAAATAATCAAGATCAAAGGGAATGATGGACCAGGGATCACCACTGGTCACAGGATGTGCTGTGGCAGGCAGAGATGATGTGAAGGCTCACGGATGCCTCTGAGCAGCTCAGAGTTGCCTATAGCACGACTGCCTCAGGCCAGCGGGACTCTGTGTCTGTACCTTTACCTTGGCTGCAGCACTCTGGGGAAGTTTGTTCGTTAAATCAGTTTGTTACAGCACCCCCAGTGCTACCTGTGCTGTTAGCTCAGTCCCCCTACAAAGAGCACTGGCCTGGAGCATCTGCACCCCTCCCCTCCTTGATCTCCAAGTCAACTCTGGTAATCTGACCAAATACAACATGGTAGTGATAGAAGCAAATCTTTTTATTCTAGATAAACTTTAAATAAAATAAACCTTCTTATAAAACAGAGACCCAGGCCATTCCTTTGTTTATTGTTGAACAAGCAGCACCTCGGGTTCCGGCCCGCTGTGCTCCTCCTCGCTCAGCAGTTCCTCATACTCCTCGCTGAGCTCCTCCGCATCCCCGAGACTGGCTTCCTCCTCGCTGGAGACGAGGTCCAGGTCCTCACTGAGAAGTCCGCCCTGGCCCCAGCTACAGCCTTCACTTGACTCATCTTCACTAAGGTCCAGCTCCTCACTGGATATCACATCCAAAACCTCACTGTGCTCGTCACTCAGGGCGTCTTCTACTGACTCCTCAAAACAGGGATGGTCTAGTTCTTCACTAGGTTCCAAGTCCTCACTGGCCACTTCCTCGAATCCTGAAGAGTAAAATGACTGACTCACTACATTAAATTTATGGCTCAGAAGAAGTACCATCCACATAATTACCCTCCCCCACAAGGTTTTCTCCAAGGTTCTCCATACCATGGGCTTTTTCCAGTGGACTATCAAATCCTTCTCCAGATTCACAAGTCTTTGTGAAGAAAGAGCATACTAAGCGGTAAAGGGAAAGTAAAGACCCTCTGCCAATAACAATGTCAAAGGCAATGTGGTCATTCCTGAGAATGAGAATAAAGTGTGGAGTTGAATCCACACAATTCTCTAAAGAGACGCTTCCTGTTGTGTTGTAACTACTAGAACCAGGGACTTGCCAGTCTTACATTACCAGGTTTACAGAACCAGGACACAAGTAATGATGTCCTGGATCAGTAAAACACACAAAGAGATCAATCTCATTTGAATTAATGCACACCCTGTCTTCAATCAACATTTCAACAAAGGTTTATTTGTGGGTGAGATCCATCCAGTAATGTAAAGGCTAGCTAACCTCAATATTCCATATACACCCCCCTCCACTACTAAGCTCCTTGTGAAAACTGCCTATATCCTGGCCTTACTAGAAGAGTTGCCAGTCACAGGGAAAGGTGTTTCAGCTCCTACAGGATTCTAGAGCATCTCCCTTCTCAGGGTCTCTAAGGACCCCACCCCGTCACCAAGGAAAGAGAGCTGAATTTTTTTTTTAATACAGTGTAGCTCAACAATACCTTACAACAGGATATGAGGGCATTGTACAATCTCAGCACTTGGAAGGCTGGCCAGAAATACAGGGACAGCCTGGACTACATTTTAAAACAAAAATCTTAAAACTGAAAAATAACTGGCTACAATCCATAGACATTGTGGGTGGATTAACAAGGGCTCTGAGTGCTGCTGACATACACTAAGTCCCCCAGCCCTGCACAAAGGACCCAGTCTACACTCCACATACCACCAGCAGCAGGCTGCACGGTCACCTCATACACGTAGTAGCCATGGAGCAACTTCTTTTCCTGTGCGAAAATCCTTACTGCCTGAAAATGGAAGTCCCCTAGAAGACCTACAAGAATGGATTAAAGAATTATCACTGCCACACTTATGTAGGCAAAGCAGGGAGGGAGTGCCTGCCTGAGTCATACCTGGGGTGGAGCAGACTTAGTAGGCCTACTACATTCTTTCTTGTACTACTGATACAAACTCTAATCTGGCACATCTCTAATATAAGGCTCTAATATAGACCTTCCACAGAAAGAACTGTCCAAAGACTAGAGTGTCAGATTCTTTCTCAAGGTAAACAAGCACTGAGTATTAATTCACTAAAAAGGAACACAGGCCTCTTTTCAGTGACAGTGCTAGGGACAGAATCTGGAGTCTATACATGACAGGCAAACATCTACCACTGACCATCAATCATCCACAGCCCTTAATTTTTGTCTTCTATCTAAACAGGCTCTCAGAGTAGCTCAAGCTAGTCTCAAAATATCCACGTCATCATCTATCTACCTTCCACCTCAAGTCAGATTTTGGAGTTCTTAGTTTTTGTTGTTTATGATTCACTATGTATCCTTAACTGCCTTAAACTCACGATCCTTCTGTCTCAGTCTCCCAAATTCTGGATTACAAAGATATGCACCACAGTACAGGCTTCAGTTTTTTTTCTTTAATTAGGCAAGATAGAACAGATACCTGACCTCTTCAGAAAGACAGAAAAGTTGACCTCCTTTACCTTATTAACTCCCAAACTCCAAGTCTTTCACCCAGCTATCTACCAGCAGATAAGACATCAGAACAGACTCCACTTAACACTGCTGTCCCATAATAAACCTCGGTATAAATGACTAAACACTAATTTCTGAAGAAGTCATTTTACTGCTTTGTGTTGGTTGGTTATTCCTAGGTGCCTTGCCACTCCGATCTGGTACTTCAGCTAGACATGGTCACATCTAGCTGTATCTAGAGCTACAGAGAATACAACAAATGCTTAGTTTCTCTTACTACAAATTACTTTTGCTCATCTTAAATTTTTACTCTTTTTTTTTTCCACACGTTTATTTATTTGTGTATTCCTATACAAATACTCAACCACCAAATTCAGGACCTCGAATTTGTTGGCAGTACCTTTACCTGCTGAGCCACATTTGGACTATCCACTGCTAATGGACTGTTTCTACTTTGAAATTCTAAATGCTATACAATCGCATCACCTGCCTCACTCTTACTCATCTGTCTAGAGGGAGCTTTCTGTATGTTTCTGCCAACATAAACAAGCTGGTCCACCCCAATCCTCACTCAAGAAAATTTTCTCCTATTTAACTGCAGGTATGAGTGAGCATGCTGACACATTCACTGTTTTCCTTCCCTCAGGAAGGCAAGACAAAGTATCTCTTTCTGAAAGGCAGAATATAGGAAAATCACTCTCTCTCTCCCCTCCACAGACACACCCATTGAGATCAACTTAGTATGACAACATGAAAAGCCCAAGACCTACCAGATCCAGGGTGATTTGCTCCTCTTCATACCCATGACATCATGCCATGCAGGGATCCCACCTGTCTCCCTTTGATATCACTGGTAGACACAATTGTCTTTTTTTCCTCCTGGGGGTTTGCTGGTGATATTTAAGTCTCTTCAGCCACACAGGATGTGTTTCCTTCTCAGTGCACCAGGACAAAAGAGAGGCGGCAACAACACGTTCAACCCTGACCTCCCACGTCCAGTGCTCACAATGCTCAGCCATAAGGAAGATTCCTAGTAACTAAGTGACAGCTGACAAGGACATGGAAAATCTGCACCTGTGCACAAGATCCCTAAGAGTCCAGGGTCAGGCATCAGACTAAAGGCAAGAAGAGCTGGGAGAATCAACTTCCCCACAATCCAACATCGGCTATCCCAGTGCTATCTGCCCTGCTCTAGATGCATCCTTTCTTCACACTCTAAAGTGGACTACAGTAACAGTTTACAAAAGGCGTGTTTATGGAACCCATGCTCTGGACCAGTATCTATGATGCTTAGTGCAAACTCACAAACTCACTAATAAACTAGCTTGCAGAGTGGAGGTAGGTGGATGCTAAAGACGTCAGTATATCCAAGATCCTGGTTTCAAATCCTGAGCACCAAAAGCAAGAAATAAATGTTTAAGAGATTAAGATCAGATTTCCAACATCTTATCCTGTCCCAACCATGGATTCACTGTCAAGCAAAAACAAATTAACTAGGACAGACTAATACACATGGAAGAGAATACCCTAAAATCTTTATCACAGAAGTCACAAATCCAAGAGCTCTGAAAGGGTTGGCAGGAAACGTCTGAGGACTCCACTGGTCCGTAAAGATAGAGGTCAATAATACAAACTGAAATGTTAAATGCAAAGGGTACCACCAGCCCTTACTAGGCCAGACCAAAGACAGACCAAGTAGGTACTTACCAAAGAAGTCAAATGAAAATGGGTCCCTTCCACCAAAAAATTCCCTGAAGACATCATCTGGGTTCCGGAATGTGAAGCCAAACTCAAATGGACTGTCAAAATGACTTCCACCTATACAAGCACAGTAAAGTATTTAGCTTATAAATTCTATTCCAAAGCAACTGTTCATAAACTATCATGTATTCCATGGTCTAAGAGAACATATTCCACACATCAGGGATTCTAAAAACCCAAGAGCCTTATCGCTGATAACTACATTTGCCTAGTATTTGACCACGTAAGTGCTCAGATCTTTAAGGTCTATGAATTTCTCGGTCTCTGTCTGTAATGCTGTTTTAACCTAATTAAATCACTGTCCACTGTCATTAGTCATAAAGGGTTATGAAAGCCAAGAATATTCACTCCACCAATTTCCCCACAGGTACTAGGTCCCACCAAGCACTCTAAGGACCACGGTGACATGAGGCAGCTTGACTGCCGAGCACCGTGTCGTGTCCACACAACAGGCAGCGTCACTGGTGAAAAGGTTATCTATCAGAGCAAACACCTCCACGTGCATCTCCTAACTCGACAAGTGTGGCAGGTTTTCTCCCCCAGCACTCTTTTACTGAAGCAGGCACTCACTATGTAAAGCAGGCTGCCCCTTAACTCTCAAGGCTCCTGTCAAAGTTTCTTTTGGTTCAGATTTTTTTTAATTACTTTTTAATCCTTTAAGGAGGCAGAATTACTGCAGAAAAATCATAATCACATAGAGTGATCTGAAACCCAGTGGGCAGGCACTCAGCTCCCAGGCTCTGTTCTCCTTAGGTGCTAGGGTTTTCAGCACATCCCCCATGCTGACCAACAAGCAGCTCCTGTAAACGTTCACTTCTCATTTACACCAACTCACCACTTTCAAGGAAAGTCCTTATTGACTATCAGGTACAAATCGTCAACAACAACAAATTTGTGTAGCTTTTCAAAACCTTTTGTCCCCAAAAAGAAAATTGACATACCTCCTCCTCCACCACCATTTAATCCTTCTTTGCCGTATTTGTCATAGATGTCCCGCTTTTTAGCTTTAAATTTGAGAAAAAACAATCAGTAGGTGTAAGTTCTTTCAAACTCTCAAATTTCAGTCACTATTTTCCCATTTTAAATCTATATCCATTTATTTAGAAGACCCTTGACTTTAAAAGGAGACAGGTCTCCTGAACCGGCAATCTTAACTGCTACAAATGCTTACTATAAAGTCCAGGGAATGGATGCTAAGCCCTGGGTAGAATGAAAGTGGATAAACATATACCAAAAGGAGCCGGGCCTGTGCACAGGTTCAGGCTCAGCATCTGCTAAGCTGACCACCCTCTCAATTGGCTCACAGGTGCTAAGCTGGTGTGCACAAGCCCTGCTTGCTGCCTTGCACATCTAGGACAGCCACAGCCCAGCTGCCACATCCTTCTGTCTTCCCCCAAAATCTTACATTATACCCCAGGGAAACAAAGTGAGAACAACCCCATCCTGACTAAGAACCCTTGTAAGATTAGTAACATAAGCTCTGAAGCCTAGGCTCCAGCCAGTAGAACTCAAACCCCCAACAGTATTAAGACCTTGCCACGTCTGCAGGATTTCAGTTATCAATGTCTTCATTAAGTGGGGAAAAAAAATTGAGGGTTGCCTTTAAAACTGGGGAGAGTACTGATAGTGCAAGAAGTTGTATGCCAATAAGCTGGCTCATTGAGTTTATGTCAGGTTCCTTTTAGAAATGGATTTTTAAAGACAGTGACCTATTATTTCCTATGATCAGCATCTAACCTTTTAAATGCTTCTGCCTTGACTCATGACAGGCCACCCAGCAAGATAGTACTTAGGATGCGGGTAGATTTCCTGTCTCTGGCACTATTCCCAGCCTTGTAGATGCAAAATCTTTCCTTTACCAGTCTAAATTGGAACATCCCTTCCTTGTGCAAGTAGTAAAACCCCACTAACAAAGCCCTGCTGCAGTACACCAATGTCTACAGCCCACAGCCTAGAGTTCCTCAGCACCCATGGTTAGACAAAGTCCACAAGAAAATAAAAACCTTGGGGAAGGGAGAGCAGTCTAGCTGGGAGCAAACCAATTGTGTGTCTGTGCTCTCCAGAACTCCTGCTGTGATGATGCCCCCTTCTCAGAGCCCTTCACAAGCTCGAGTTTACGTACCATCCGATAACACTTCATAGGCCTCAGCTACTTGTTTGAATTTCCGCTCTGCTTCTTCTTTATTCTCAGGATTTTTGTCCGGGTGCCATTTAAGTGCTTGTTTTCGATACCTTAAAAGATGAAAAGGGTGTATATTGAGTACATATGAAGTGTATAGAATTTTAATAACATAAGCAGCTAGCCATGGTAGTAGCACACCTTTAATTCCAGCAACCTAGTCTACATACTGAGCTCTAGGCCAACCATGGCTGCACCCTGTCTTGAAAAGGGGGGGGGAACCTACCCTTAAGTAGAAAATGGCTACACCATTAGGTGTAAGAGGAGTATCTTAGCAGTAAAGCTCTCTTTTCCTGAGACTGAAATAAGCAAGTTCTAATTTCAGACACTAGCACAAATTGGCAAGAAGTTTGAAAACTGGTTATGTCAGATGATTCAAGTGTCCAAATTATAGGCTCTGGTGATCAAGCTAAGCATGCATGGAATGTAGACAACTCCTTGTCCACTGAACAGAGCAGATACAATTTAAATAAATTTCCTAGTACTTCTATTTTTTCCCCAGCCATCCCAATATTCCACTCATCAATATAAAGAAAGAACATCTCCCAAAGCCAGACTCCTCCAAGTATCTTTTAAATAGCACCTGTTCTAGATGTAATGTCTAAACTGAACTATATCAACCTTTGTGTCTGGAGTATGACCAGTGATAGGGCACCTAGAATGCACACAACTTTAATCTAAAGCAAAACATTAGGGGAAGTTATGTCCAATACTGGAATTAAGACAAGTATCCAGTATCCTGTAAAAACCTTATAAGGAGCATATGAAAACCCAGGAGTGATGTTAGTTAGCTGTAACTGTTAACTTGGCACAACCTAAAATCACTTGGAGAATGGTCTCATAGGGGCTGATGTGGGCAAATTAGGTACAGCATCATTCCGTAGACAGGACTTCTAAACTGCGAAGAAATCAAGCTGAGTTTGTACAAGCAAGAACACAGACATCTCATTTATCTTAACTCTAGTAGAGAGAAGGTAACTAGCTGTCTGAAGCTTCTGCCATGACTTCTCCACAGTGATGACTATGGGACCTGACCTCTATCATGAGATAAACCCTTCCTTCTACTGTTACTTTTGGGTATCACAGCAACAAAAATAAACTAGAACACTAAGACTCAACTGCTTATGCCCTTGGTTACACAGCAACTCTCTGTGTAACAGAGTCTGGGACTCACTGTGTAGACCAGAGATCTGCCTGCCTCTGCCCGAGTACTGGAATTAAAAAAAAGTGACACCACTTAGCATACACCAAAATTTTAAAAATAGTAAAGAGGTACAGATATAGTTCAGTGGAGACAACAGGCCTAGGCTGGAATTCAGAAACACCAGGGAGAGAAAGAAGCACAATATAAATTATCACAAAGTAAATACAGATAGTACCAGGAACTGCAGATGGAAACCAGGACCTCTATCTAGCACAAAAGGGCAATTTTAACATTTCTATTTTGGGACATGGTACGAGTTAGTTTGGGGGTGTATGTGTGCACAAATGTGTGTATGTATGAGTGTGAAAGCCAGGTCAGCCTCCTAAGAATCATCTACTTCATTTTTTTAAGACTGGGTGGGTCTTTCTTCATAGGAACCTAAAGATCATCAATTAGATAGAATGCCCAATGAATGATCCGCAGGTCTGAGCACAAATGTTAGCACTTTAACCTAAAACTGAACCATAGGGTTAAAAGTCACTTTAGGTCTGTGTTGAGCAGTACACCAGTGCCTGTCTATCATGTATGAATCTCCTAGATTAGACCCCAGTACAGAGTAGGTGCCTTGTTCAGGATTTGAGAACACCTATTGCTCTTACTGAGATCCTAAGTTTGATTCCCAGCACCCAAGTAGTGGTTTGCAACTATCCACAAAGTCAATTCCAGGGGATCACACTCTCCTCTGAGCTCCTTGAACACTGAGTATACACACGTGCAGGCAAGCCAACCATTCACACACAAAATGAATAAACCAGTTTATTCATTCATTTTGCATTATCCAGTTACCAATGAACCATAGTACAGAATATCATCTCGGAAATAGAATCACTTACGCCTTTTTAATGTCCTCAGGTGAGGCATGTCTCTGCACGCCCAGCACTTCATAGTAATCCACCATGTTTTAACAGACTGTTGGAAAAAATCCTGCGAAGAAAAAAAATATATATACAGTCCATGACAACACTGCCCAGTGTCAGTGAAAAAATGAGAGAATGGATGAGTCAGTTCCTTCTCAGAACCTATTGGCCCAGAGAGAACTTCTGGTAGCCAGTCACTAGCCTGTATCTTAGGCAGAATCTTCGTCCAGAAACTGGGTTCAAGAATCACTTCCCATCCATTGGGGCGGGGCGCACACCTTTAAAGTGCTAGAGATGCAAAATGCAGGCAGATCTGATTTCTATGCCAGTCTGGTCTACAGAGTGAGTTCAGGACAGCCAGGGCTACTTAGAGAAATGGGGAGGAGGGGGTGTTTCCCCAAAACTCTATCTTTTAAAAAAAAGCTTGAAAATTACCTAATAATATCCTAAACTATAAACACGTCACTGGTCTCTGAGGCAGAGATCGGGTGCCACCTAACCAACAGACTGGCTACATCTGCTTCCCTAGACTACAATGCACTTGTGGAGATTTTGTTACTTCCCTCCCATGATGAGCTTCTGCACCAGACAAGCCTGCAAAGATGAACACACTATCACTGCACTTGAGAAGCATGTCAGCCTCAGCATCATGGCTCTCTCATGGGAATGGCATCAGCTGTTGCATTAAGTTACCCAAAAGAAAGGGAAAAACCTATTTGGCCAGTCATATAGACAACTCTGTCCAGCATCCAACTACCAACCCAACATAACACTGCTCTAATGCTATCCTCCAGACTAATTCTTCAGCTGAAATCCAGAGACAAAGTAAAGTTTCCTTTACTTGTGGATTACATCTCCACAGAGCAGCACAAGGAAGCCATTCAACTTCTAACTCCCTGATATGTGGTCTCACTGTTCTCTAAATAATGTGCTTTCACTTGACAGTATCTAAATCACTTGATCACTCTCTACAGAATAAGACTAAAGGGCCAGTGCTTAAGAACTCTTGCCACGGAGACTGCTTCCCAGTTCCCACTCCAGCTCCAGGTAATCAATCTAATGCCCTCTTCTTGCCTATGAGTGCATGCACATGCCCACAAAATAAAACCTGGTTAGTGGCACGCCCTTAATCCCTGGGGTGGGGCGGAACTATAGCCATTTTCTAAACCCCAAAGATCCCATTTGTATAACATCTCTACTTTCCAAATTGAGGTTTTTACAAAGTTTTAAGTTTGTAATGACTCCTTTTGTGTGTGTGTGTGTGTGTGTGTGTGTGTGTGTGTGTGCGCGCGCACGTACATCTGTATATCAAGATATCAGATCTTAGAAATGGGAGTTACAATTGTGAGCTGTTATGTGGGTACTGAGAATTGAACCTGGGTCCTTTGAAAGAACAGTTATCTGAACTGCTGAGCCATCTCTCCATCTGCTCCTTGTACAATTTATTTAACCTCTATAGACTAATTCTAACTACTAAATCTAACTATTACTGTTGGTAGTTTTGTTTTTTGAGACAAGATCTCACTATGTGGCTTTGGTTGACTAAGAGTCACTAAGTAGAACAGGCTGGCCTCAAACTCTGTCTAGGCCAGAGTGGGTTTAAAAAGGCACCACTACAATTGCTCATTGTAACTCAATGCTTGTTTCTAGACCAGAAATCTCAAATAACTAGAAGTGGGTAGCGTCCACCACACCCATAATCTTAGCACTAAGGAGGCTGACAGGAGAACTGTTGTCTAGTCGGGACTACATAGTCAAGAGTCAGGCCATCATGGATTATAGTAAACTGCCTCAAAACTAAACAAATTTCAAAAATACTTCACAGAAATCTAACAGAGAATGTCCTTACGCACATCACACAAATACATTAGAAATGTACAAGAGAATATAAACTGAAGGCGGGGTGTGGTGACTCAAGGCTATATCCCCAGCATTCTGGAGGCAGAGGCAGGCATATCTCTGTGAATTCGAGGCCAGCCTAGTCTACAAATTGACAGCCAGGGCTCTGTTGCACAGAGAAACTCTGTTTCAAAATCTTAGCTAAAAATAATATGGGGGGCTGGAGAGATGGCTCAGAGGTTAAGAACACCAACTGCTCGAGAGGTCCTGAGTTCAAATCCCAGCAACCACATGGTAGCTGACAACCATCTGTAATGGGACCCAATGTCTTCTTCTGGTGTGACTGAAGACAGCTACAGTGTACTCATATACATAGAATAAAATCTTTTTTAAAATAATAATATAAACTGAAGGAAGGCATACAAAATAGGAAGGAGGCACAGTTCAGTTACTGGAAAGCACCAGGAAGTTTACAATCCTAACACAGCAGCCTGAGCACCTGATTGCAAGATCTGGGATTTTCAAACTATATTCACATTTCAGGCAAAGGAAAGGTGCTACTGAGAGCCCTACAGGAAATATGATTCTTCAAAGGCTATCAACCCAGAAGGAAGACAAGAAAAACTACCACTCACCTTAAGAAGAAAAGGCTTTGCAAAGGGTCTTGACAAGCAGAATGGAAAAGCACAATATTTTACTACATCAAATAGTACCTCGAGGACAAACACCCATTATCTGACCCTTTCAGACATTATGCCCAACCTGGCTGCACAATGAGACTTGTCTCAAAAACATACTACACAGAAAAATTATCAAATAATACCAAAATAAAGACTGGAGATACGTAGAGAGCATGCCTGGTACATGTGAGGCCCTGGGTTTGGTTGTCAGCACCAGGGGGAAAAACGCCTCGTCCTCTCTACTCCACTAAATGATAAAAGTTGTGGCTGCAAACGATCTGTCTAAAGCAGCATTTTAAAAACCAATGCTAATAACTACAGGACAACAGGGCAACAAGGCAAACATTGGTGTGCTAATCCACTCTTAGAGAACAAGAAATCTCAAGACTGTTTCTAACTCCAAATATGTGAGCCTTACAAAGTGAGACAGCAGCCACTGGAGCTGCTCGTAAGAGGCACATGCCCTCCCTCTCCTCCTCGTCCCAGGTGGTCTAATATTCCCACCAGTGTTCATGTTTCCACTATGAGTGATGCAAAAACTAGGGCTGACAATAAGTAGGGAGGCCAAATGAACCAGCCACAAATCCTGACTTCAAGGCAGTGGTAGTGCCTGGTATTCAGCCAACACTTGAATGCTCGTCATCTTAAATGAAGAGTTAAACAATTCATTTGGAGAACTTGAGACACTTTTAAGAGCTGCCAACTTCAACACCAAACCCCTTGAAATTGACGGACTGATTTAAGGTCCACGGCCTTGACTCACTCACCAGTTTCCACTTCTGACCTACCTCATCACATGAAATCACCTGATTTAAGCTCAGGAACTCCTAAGACTCCCAATACATTTGAGGGCTCTCCTGACTTCCCCAATCACTTTCCTGTCTTCCCAGATCTGCATTCTATGATCAATTTCCTCACTGAAAGGTGCTCAACGTCTCGTCTCGCCATCTATTGCCTATTATATAACGCGCTGAGTCCCAAGTGGAAGCCTAATCCAGTAAACAGGCACATGACTGCACAAAATAGCCACTTGGATACTGAGCGTGTTGTTTCAAATAGAAGATGACCCAAACTTCTGAACCTCCCCACTCCACCCAACATGCTGTCTTCTACTTCTACCTTGGTTATGCTACCTTGATTACTCAAGGTTGTTTGTTATACCCACCACATAAAGACAGTCACTTTTTCTTTAGCATGGTCCTCAGTCCTTACTCCTGCAGAAAGAAGCCTTTGTGCCACCCTATTTTCAATGAAGACAGAGACTCAAAAGGTGTAATAAATACCCTAGGCAATACCAACCACAAGGGACTCTACTAAGTTAACTAGGAAATTAAGACAACAATCACTCATTGTATTGACTAGTGTCAGGTATGAGAGGGAAGGAGTTATGAAATAAACCACAGATCACCAGACAAAGTTTATGAACTATCCCGACTTACATCAAGCTAGGTAGGAGGACCAGGGATTTAGGCTATAATCTGACACAGGTTTGTAGACAACAGGAAAACACATGTGACCCTGTCTCAGAAAACAAATAGAAAAACTTTTGCTTTGGTTGGTTGGTTTGGTTTGGTTTTTTCCAAGTCAGGGTTTCTCTGTATGGCACTGGCTTTCCTGGTAATAATCCACCTGCCTCTGCCTCCTGCAAGCTAGATGTGTGCCACCACTGGTATCCATCCAGCCTACTGTATTTGCCTGGAACCACCAAAAGTAAACTAAAATCAAAACAAGGGTTTTGAAAAATACCAGGATCCAGAAATACAAGGGCCCTGAAAAATATGTAAAGAAATGAATCAAGATATCCTTGCCCTAGGCAGATTTCCGAGTTCGAGGCCAGCCCGGTCTACAGAGTGAGTCCCAAGACACCCAGGGCTACACAGAGAAACCCTGTCTCAAAAAAACTGAAGATACCCTTGCTCTTTCCTCCCATTTTGAGTCTGTCTCTAAGGCAGGGCAGTGGTAATGCATGATTTTAATCCCAGCACTCAGGAGGCACAGAGGGCCTCTGTGAGGCTAGAAGTCAGCCTGGTCTACAGAGTTCCAGGACAACAAGGCTACAAAGAAAACCTTGTCTCTTCTTTTTTTTTAAAAAAAAAAAAAAAGTCTTGCCGGGCAGTGGTGGTGCACGCCTTTAATCCCCAGCACTTGGGAGGCAGAGGCAGGCGGATTTCTGAGTTCGAGGCCAGCCTGGTCTACAGAGTGAGTTCCAGGACAGCCAGGGCTATACAGAGAAACCCTGTCTTGAAAAACCGAAAAAAAAAAAAAAAGTCTCTCTCTGGTGTCTTATCTATCTATTCCTTGTGCTTTAGGATTGGTTAGCGAGTTATCTGACCTCTACTCTTCAGGTATTGAAGGATCCATATATCCAAGCTGTGATCATTATAATAGACACTGCTAGAAGCCAGGCATACCTTTGATCCCAGCACCAGGTGGGCAGGGGCAGGTGGCTCAGAGAGCTGGAGGCAGCCAGAGGTACACAGTGATACTATATCCCTGCCCCCCCCAAAAGACATTGCTGAGTCCCCTCAAGGCATTTCCTGGACTGAGA